TATTTATAATATGCTGTTTATCTTTAAAATGCTGTGTTTTCTTTATATTTTTCGCAATATTAGGCTTACCTAGTCGTAAAGACTAGGTGCCATCACGACACCTTATGGAGGGTTAATTTGGGTCGTGACAGTTAGATTTTAGCTCAGTCCAATTGGACAAAGATTTGACTTACGAAGAGGAACCAATAGCTATTCTAGCCCGGCAGGTCCCACAGTTGAGGTCTAAGAGTTATCCTTCAGTTCGGGTGCAATGGAGAGGTCAATCGATTGAGACAACTACCTGGGAGTCCGAGTCGGACATGCGGAGTAAATATCTACACCTTTTTACCAGCTTAGGTACTTTTCTAATTCCGTTCGATGACGAACGTTTGTTTTAGAGGCGGAGAATGTGATGACCAAAAAGGTCATCTTTAAATTTAATAATTATTTATGTGTTCTGAGACCTCAAATAGCACTATTTATCATTCCTCGACTTACGTGCGCAGTCCGTATAATTTTTCGAAAAGCTTTTATGTGAAAAATTGATTAAAATATAAAATAGAGTCTTAAAACTCAATTAAGTTGACTTTGGTCAATATTTTTAGCAAACGGACCAAGATCAGTATTTTGACAATTCCGGTAGGTCCGTCTTGTGATTTGGGACTTGGGCGTATGCCGGAATTTAATTTGGAGGTCCCTAGCTCAAGTTATGGCCATTTAACGGAAACTAGAAATTTAAAGGCTAAAGATTTCCAAAGTTTGACCATGGATTTGACTTTTTGATATCGGGGTCGGAATCCGATTCCGAAAATTTGAATAGCTCTGTTATGTCATTTATGACTTGTGTGCCAAATTTGAAGTCATTCTGGATTCATTTAATATGTTTTGGTACAAGTTTTGGTAAATGGAAAAGTTTGAAACTCTTAAGTTCGAATCGAGGTGTGAATTGTAATTTCGATGTTGTTTGATGTGATTTGAGACCCCGAGTAAGTCCGTATTATGTTACGAGATTTGTTGGGATAATTGGATGAGGTCCCGAGTGGCTCGGGTGAGTTTCGGACATGTTTCAGATCATTTTTGCAAAAACTACCAGTTCTGGTTCTGGTGTTTCGCACCTGCGACTTTTGGAGCGCAGATGCGGCACTGCTTCTGCGGCTCGGCCTTTGCAAATGCGGATCCTTCATGAGCTTCTGTGTAGCCACAAATGTGGCTCAAGTTCCGCAGATGCAGACACATGCTGGGTAAGCCATTTCGCAGATACGAGATTTTTCTCGCAAATGCGAGCTCGCAGATGCGAAAATAAGTCCGCAAATGCGAAAATGCTGGACATAATACTTAAAAATCGGGAGTTATCCATTTTTACTCATTTTTGAGTTTTGATTCTCGGATTTGGGCGATTTCAAAGGGATTTTTTACGACTTTGAATTGGGTAAGTGTTCTATAACCAAAAGTGGTTATATTTCATAAATTCATGTCTATATTTATCATTTATTTCGGATTTAGATGGAAAAAATTGGAATTTTTGTACAACTTTCCAAAATAAAAAATTAAGATTTGAAGGTCCATTTGACATCGGAATTTGGTAATTTTTGTATGGTTGGACTCGTCTCGGAACGGGTGTTGGGATTTTGTAAGTTTTTCTGAGATTTGAGACGTGGGCCACATTGTTTATTTTTGAGATGAATTTCGGATTTTAATCCGAAAAATTAGTAAATTCATATAGAATTAATTCCTACGATTTGTATTGAGTATATTGAATTTTTTATGACTAGATTTGAGTATTTCGGACATGAATTCGCGAGGCAAAGGTTTATTGAAATTTTAAATTTGGTTGCAAAGCGAGGTAAGTGTCATGGTTAATCTTGACTTGAGGGAGTTGGACTTATTTGTCTATTTGCTACGTGATTTAATGTGTGGGTACAACGTATATGTGAGGTGACAAGTACTTATGCGTTGTGGTTGAGTCAAAGCATGCGGGTGTAATCTCTTTATTGTGAATAATTGCATACTTAATTAAGATATTCCTACTTAAATTATTATTGTTTATTTGATCATTTTTCAGGGAATTATTGTTGAATATTGTAGAAGGTGAAGTCGATATTCTGGTATTGAATTGAATGATAAGTATATATCCTCGCATTTAAATACTCTTCCGAATTTATATTATTATTTTCATGGTAAGGAAGAGTGTAAAAGAACGAAGGGTGATGCCGTGCCATTTTTATTATTTATAATATCATTGTCATGGTAAGGAAGAGTGTAAAAGCACGAAGGGTGTTGCCGTGCCATTTGTGAGTGTAAAAGCACGAAAGGTGATGCCGTGTCATTTTCAGAGAGTGTAAAAGCACGAAGGGTGATGCCGTGCCAAAAGAGAGTTAAAGCACAAAGGGTGATACCTTGCCAATTATTATTATTATTATTATTATTATTATTATTATTATTATTATTATTTATTTATTTATTTATCAGTTTATGGGAGGAATGAGAGTAAAAGCACGAAGGGTAGTGCCGTGCCATTTTCATATCATCAGTTGCTCATTTTATTGTTGAGGAATTATTTGGCTGCTAAGTGATAATTCTCCTGCTGAAATTATTATATCAATCCCCTTCGCATGTTCCCTCCCAAATTTATAAAGTGTTGCTTATTATTTTATTGTTGCTTCGTATTTGTATACACTTGCACAGGTTGCTTACGTACGTGTCCTGTCATAGCCTCGTCACTACTTCGTCGAGGTTAGGCTCGACACTTACGGAGTACATGGGGTCGGTTGTACTCATACTACACTCTGCACTTCTTGTGCAGATTTTGGAGTTGGTCCCAGTAGCGTACCATAGACGTGCTCGGATTCAGCTTCTTAGAGGAGACTTGAGGTATAACTGCACAACGTTCGCAGTTCTGAAGTCCCCTTCTATCTTATCTCAGTTGTGTATTATCTTTCAAATAACTTGAATTTTATGCAGACCTTTATTTGTATTATTCTAGTAGCTCGTGTACTTCTGACACCATATTCGGGGAGATATTTTGATAATTCGGTATTTATGGTCTTCCGCACTTTATTTCAATAATTGACTTCTATTTAATTAAATCTGCTTAAAAATAGTTAAGATTATTTTAACGTTGACTTGCCTAGCAAGTGAAATGTTAGCCGCCATCACAATTCTGAAGGTGGAAATTTCGGATCGTGACAATAGTTAAAACATATTAATAGTAATAATAATTACAGAGGGTCATTACAGATAGTAGAGCTCCTGTACTAAGAGCAAAAAGGTTCTCAAAGCGAACCAAAATATTACAAATAACAATTGTAGTTTTTTTTAATAATTATACTCTTAGACCTAAGAAAAAATAAAATAAAATGAGGGGGTTGTCAAATAGATAGTTGAGTCAAAATATGCTCGCTTCGTCATTCCCTTAACCAAGTTGTCCGCAATTGCGTTTTGATCTTATAATAATAGGTAAATCTTTATAATAGATCGGACAGTACCAGCAAAATAGAATACTAATAATTTTACGATAATCAATTAAATTACTGATAGTATAAAAATTATTTACATTAACAGTATATATATCTTAAATTCATATAAAAAGATGTCGTGGCATTGATGTGAGGCAAGTAAAACAAAAAGGAAAAAACGAGGTATTGTCGCGTGCTTCTCAATACTATCATAGCTAAATTAATGTTATGTGTACATTTTTATTTTCAAAAGGCTTAGACTTCTTTTGTAACTTTCTCTTAGTTAAAAAGAAAAAAAATTAATTAAAAATAAAAAGAAACACAATGTTGAAGAAGTTCAGTTCCACGGAAGGTGAAAGTGTTGAGCTAATGGACTACTTGGCTTCTAAGACAAAGCACAAATAGTTACACATAGCAGTAGCAGTTATTTATTTAATTTGTTCGTTTGGTCCATTTTGTATATTGGGTTGTTTTTGTAGTAGTTGTATTTAGTGGTCACAGTATTGCCGGGTTGGTAATTTTAGGCCCAGACTATAAATAGAGTATGGTGGCTTTTCGTAAGACCCATCGGGTCATTATTCTTTATATTTTCAAAGACAGATAATAAAATAGAGCTTTTTCTCTTTGAAGATACATTCGAAACCCTAATCAAATCCCTTCAATTTCTGCTCATCTCACAATGTTTTCATGGTATTAGAGCGGTGATTCTGGTGCATCTCGTGCTGCTTGTTCTTCCGATCCTACCCCGGTCAAGTTTGGTTGTGTTTTCTTGTCTTCGATTGTTTGAAAAATCGGAGATTTTTCTTTCAAAAGGAGCGAAATTTTTGTCGATCTATGCTCTACACCAGCGTTGGGGGTTATTTTCCGGCTTTTTGGGTTGAGGCTCGACAAGTGTTCACGACTCTGATTTGCTCGGTGTTTGGAGCTAGGGTTACATATGTTTTCCTTCATTTGAAGGCCGTTCTTCTCCTGTAGCGAAGAAGTTGGGTAAATTCTTTCCTCTTCTTATGTTTGGGACTGCTGTATGTAGGATTTTTCTTGAAATCTTTGTTGCAATTTTGTTCCCTGTACTCGTCGTTTTGTCGATACTGTGTGATAGCCATGGGATCCACTGATACATTTTCTCCTGATCCTTCAAGTCCCCTGTTTGTACATTCCTCTGATATTCCTGGTATTTCGTTAGTTCCTGCTCCTTTTTCGGGTAGTGGTCTTGGGGGTTGGAGAAGGAAGATTATAGTTGCTTTATCTGCTAAAAACAAGATAACTTTTGTTGAGGGTACATGTCCCTGACCTGTTACTGCTGGGTCTGAACAAAAATTATGGGATAGGTGCAACAACATGGTAATATCATAGTTGACAACCTCATTATCCCCTAAGATAGCTGTAAGTGTGCAGTACTCTGAGACTGCTCAGAGTATTTAAGTGCAATTACAAACTAGGTATGGGACTGCAAATAGGATAAAAATATTTGAACTAAAAAGGGAACTTGCCTATACTTCCCAGGGTACATTAGTCATAGCCTCATACTTCAATAAATTAAAGATGTTATGGGATGAGTTGGGAGTAATGTGTACTAACCATGAGCAAAGATGTACTTGTGTTGCAAAGCTTGGTATTCTGCAAGTGGATGAGGATAATAGGCTATTTCAGTTCCTCATGGGGTTGAATGAAACATATATGGGGGTAAGGAGCAATCTTCTTATGATGCAACCTCTACCTAGCCTTGATAGTGCTTATAACATCCTTCTTAATGATGAAAAACAAAGGCAAGTCCAGTCCAACTCTCTGTTCAATCCTAACTCTATGTCCTTCAATGTTAGTACACAAATTAAGCCTGGCTTTGGTTTTGGTTTCAACCTTAGTGCCACTTCCAATCTTCCTCCTCCCAGACCATATGCACCAAGAATTAACTTTGATCAGAATAGAGCACCTTGTTCTGTAAATATTGTAAGAAATCTGGATATTTGGTTGACAAGTGTTATAAACTCCATGGGTATCCACATAATCCCAAGTTTAACAAGGGTAAAAAGGTTGCAACTCATGTATCTGCTGCATCACCTACTAACTCTGAAGGCAGTGTTCTTGAACCTGCTTGCACTTTAGATGAGGGAATCAATGCTGCTTCCAATGTTGATGGTCAGGGATTCATTATCCCCGGTCTGAGCAAGCAGCAATATGATCAGTTGATGAATTTGTTACAACAGTCTCAGCTAGGGTATTCTTCCAATACTCAAGCCAATCTCATGTGCGCTGCTAATTTTGCTGGTACTTTGTTAACTGAAACCCCAGTTTCTGATTCTTTACTTTGTTTGCTTACTCAAATTAATTCTGTCACCTGGATAATAGATTCAGGTGCTTCTGATCATATGACTTCTAATAAAGAACTACTTTTTGATATTATACCTTTAACTATTCGTTACCTTGTAACTCTTCCTAATGGATACAAAGTGAAGGTGACCTCCACTGGTTTTTTTGCTTTGACCCCTTCAATCATACTTCATAATGTGTTGTTCATTCCTTCTTTTCAATACAACTTAATTTCTGTTCATAAGCTAATCAAACAACTATATTGCATAGTGTTATTCACTTCTACTTCTTGTCTGTTGCACATGTTACATGCCCCTTCTCTAAATATGCCTCTGGATCTTGGTAAAGAGGAGGATGGCCCGTATAAGTTCACTTGAGTGCAACCATTAGATTCTTCAATTTTGTAGTTCCAATTCATGCAACACTGTTCATGTATGCCCTGTAGTTGAATCTTGCAAATCTGTTTTTCCTTCTAGTTCTAAGAATGTTTCCAGTACTAGTTCCTCTTTGTGTAATAATGCTGCTATGAATGATATGAACTTTAATTGGCATTAAAGATTGGCACACATTCCTTTTGCAAATATGAGACATATTTCTGCTTTGTCTTCTTTTCTTTCTTCTAGGCAATCTTTTCCTTGTTTTGTTTGTCCTATGGCTAGACAAACTAGACTTCCTTTTCCTTATAGCTCAATTTGTACAACCAGACCTTTTCAATTGATTCATATTGATACCTACTTCTTCTGGTTCAAGGTACTTCCTTACCATTGTTGATGACTTTTCCACGGCCACTTGGACTCATTTACTGGGTTCAAAAAGCAATGATTTCTCTATGATCAAGGCTTTCTTAGCCATGGTCCAAACCCAGTTCAATGCAAACGTTCAAACTATTAGAAGTGTTAATACTTTGGAATTAGGCTCCAGCAATGCTGGTTCTTCTTTATTCAGTCAACTTGGTATCACAAACTACCTGTCCTCACACCCCACAGCAAAGCAGGGTTGCTGAAAGAAAATACAGAATACTTCTTGAAGCCTGTAGAGCCTTATTGTTTCAATCCAAATTACCTGTCACCTTTTGGAGAGATTGTCTTCTCACTGCTACATACTTGTTAAACAAAATTCCATCCAGAATCCTTAGAAGTAAGTCACCTTATGAGTTTCTATATGGGCAACCTCCCAGTTATTCTCACTTGAAGACCTTTGGTTGCCTGGCTTATGCCACTATTTCTATTCCTCAAAGAGATAAGCTGCATCCTAGGGCCATTCCATGTGTCTTTGTAGGTTATCCTTTTGCTAAAAGAGATACAAGCTATACAACTTAGACACTAAGAATTGCTTTGTCTCTAGGGATGTCATTTTTCATGAAACATGTTTCCTATTTTCTACTCCTATTCCTTCTTTTCCTTCCTCTTTCCCATGTCCTCTACCTTCTTCTGCCCTTTATCAGGACCCTATGCCTTTTCCTCCTCCTGTTCCTTCTTCTTCTCCTATTCCTCCTGCCTCTCCTACCTTTGATGTATCTTCACCTTCTACTTCTCCTCTGCATTCTCCTTTAGAACCTTTTCATCCTGATGTGTCCTCTCCTTCATCTATCCTTCCTCCTTCCCCAGCACTTAGAAAATCTTCCAGGCAGTACACTACTCTTTTTTACTTGAAGGATTATATTTGTCAGCTTCCTTCCTTTTCTAGTTCTTCCTCTTTACCACCCGTGGAAACTGAACCTTTCAGCTACTCTCAAGCTACCTCAGTTCCAGCCTGGCAAGATGCCATGAATAAGAAATTTGATGCCGTGGATGCTAATCGCACTTGGGACATTGTGCCCCCACCTTCTGGTAAGAAACCTATAGGTTGCAAATGGGTCTATAAAATCAAGTACAAAGATGATGGGAGTGTGGAGAGGTACAAGGCTAGACTTGTCATTTGGGGGGATACTCAGGTTGAGGGAGTTAACTTCACAGAAACCTTTTCTCCTGTCATCAAAATGTCCACTGTTAAATGCTTAGTAGTTGTGGCTATCAAGCACAGTTGGTTTCTTTCCCAATTATATGTCAACAATGCTTTCCTTCATGGAAACCTAGATGAGGAGGTCTACATGAAGTTACCCCAAGGTTTGAATATTTCTGCTCTCTCTGGTTCTGCCCCTTTTGTGTGCAAATTGAGGAAGTCTCTCTATGGGTTAAGACATGCATCAAGGCAGTGGTATGCCAAGCTATATCAAGCTCTCTATTCCAGGGGATATACTCACTCACTCAATGACTATTCCTTGGTCATCAAGGGCGCTCCGAGCAACCTGGTCCTATTAGCAGTTTATGTGGATGACATCATCATTACTGGGGATGACAATGCTGAAATTTCTGCCTTAAAGCAGTTTTTGGATGCTCAGTTTAAAATAAAGGACTTGGGCTGCTTACACTACTTCTTGGGTATTGAGGTTTCTACTATCTCTGGTGGGGTTATTCTAAATAAGAAGAAGTTTGTTTCTGATCTACTTCAGCAATTTGACTGTACTGTCGTGTCCCTGTTGTATGTCCTTTAGAGCTCAATTGTAAGTTGCATGCAGATGCTGGTGATTTGTTACCTTTCCCTGATCAATATAGAAGTTTGGTGGGCAAGCGTCTTTTTCTTACACATACACAACCTGATATCTGCTTTGATGTACAACATTTGAGTCAATTCTTGAAGAGTCCCAAGGTTTCACACATGACTGTTGCACTCCATGTGTTGAGATATCTCAAAGGGACTGTGGATTTAGGACTGTTTTACTCAGCTTCTCCTAACTTTTGTATCCATGCATATTCAGATAGTGACTGGGCTGCCTGCCCTGACCCTCGGGTTTTGTGTTATTTTGGGTGGTTGTCTCATTAGTTGAAAATCCAAAAAGCAGCCAGTTATTTCTTTATCTTCTGCTGAGGCTGAATATAGGGCCCTTAGTAAAGTAGTTGCTGAGCTTACTTGGTTTTCCAGGCTACTGTCTGATTTTGGTCTCACTATTTCTCTTTCCATTTCTGTCTTCTGTGATAATCAAGATGCTTTGTACATTGCCAGGAACCCTATTTTTCATGAACGAACCAAGCACATCGAAGTTGATTGTCATTTCATCTGTACCAAGCTTCACGATTGTCTGATTCACCTTTCTCATTTGATTACCTCTCAACAGCTGGCTGATATTCTCAATAAGCCTCTCCCTGGTACCCTCCATCATCATTTCTTGGGCAAGTTGAAGGTGGTCTCCCCCTCCAAATTGAGGGGTGGGGTGGGGGGTGGGGGTGTTGAGCTAATGGAGTACTTGGCTTCTAAGCCAAATCATAAATGGTTACACATAGCAGTAGCAGTTGTTTATTTAATTTGTTCATTTGGGCCATTTTATATATTAGGCTATTTTTGTAGTAATTGTATTTAGTGGTCGCAGTATTGCCGGGTTGGCAGTTTTATGCCTAGACTATAAATAGAGTATGGTGGCTTTTTGTAAGACCCATTGAGTCATTATTCTTTACATTTTTAAAGACAGATAATAAAATAGAGCTTTTTCTCTCCGAAGATACATTCGAACCCTAATCAAATCCCTTCATGTTCTGCTCATCTCACAATGTTTTCAGAAAGCTCGGGTGGATGGTTTTAAGTGAAACAAAAATCCCAAAGCCTGCACCTAAATCTCCCTAAAAAAAGCCACCATTTTTTCCTTTGCAAATTAAAAAGATCCTTTTTATGATATACTTCTCACCTTCTTTAACATAAATAGGGAATATTGTTTCCTTTGCAAATTAAAAAGATCCTTTTTATGATATACTTCTCAACTTCTTTAACGTAAATAGGGACAAAGGTAAAAACTAAATCATAACCTTTTGAAAATATATGGACACATATAAATAATCTAAGATTAGCATTAAGAACCACGAGAGGAACCTCCGGCGAAGAAGAATCCTACACGGAACACACATATTAGCAGAGGCGTATCCAGAATTTTAATAACATGGGTACACCATTATCTTTAATATAAATGTTTGGTTCGATTATGTAAAATTTACGGTGATAACAAGTTGACAAGCAAACTATATTAATATTATATTCACAAAAAATATCATTCACTTTACAATTGTCCTCGACGAGTTTTCATACTTTGAAAACGGTCGATAATAGCATCATTACTTACAGTTTTAAATATCTTACGTTCTATATAGCAAACTAAAAAATCATTGAGAAAATCATCATCCATCCTATTACGTAGATCATTTTTGATGTACTTCATTGATGAGAATGCTCTTTCAACGCTTGCAGTAGCAACAAGTATAAGTAAAGTTAACTTCACAAGCAAATATATAAGTGACCAAATAAGATCCTATTTTTTCTCTATCATCACTCTAGCAAAATCCTTAATCCCCTTCAGGTTAAGAAATCTGCTATCACACTTTTGAGCATAGACAGTGAAACTATCAAATTGGAAACCGAGTTCTCGAAGTTTGTTATCACCAAATTTACTTGGATAATACTCTGCCAACTTCATTATCTTGTCCTTATCAAAATTAGCAAATGAATCAATCAGATTCAAACTGGCCATACCAAGTAGTAAGTCAGTAGTCACAACATCAAAACGATCATTAAGCTCTTGAAATTCCAAATCAATAACCGTATAAAATACTTCCACACGAAAGTGATGTAAATATGAAACTTCGGACCTCTTACTCTTCGACTTTCCTAGAGTATAGTCTTCATCCATTTTGGGAATTAGAATATCATGGTTACTACAAAATGAGCACACCTCATCCAACAAAGAGTTCCATTCAGTTTCTCTCATCATTTGCAATCTTTTCTTCGCAAGGTAAAGCACTCCCATAACATTAACAATATATTGTTCTTTCTTTTGTAAAGCTTTGTTCAATTCATTTGTAAATAACAACACCTTAAACATCAAGTGCAACATAAAAATAAATCCAAATTCTTGATTCTGGCTCAAAAGATTTCCCACTGCAAATCTATCAAAATGATATAGAAAGTCACGCTTTATATCTTTAAGCACATTAACAATTAAAGGAAATAAAACAATCAAATTGTCCAAAGTTTTATAATGAGACCCCCAACGAGTATCACCCGATCATTGGAGGCCACGTTCTTGATTCAAACCTTGCCCCGTATAGGCTTCTCCAAATTTAAGAAACTCTTCCAACTTATCTGCTTGATGTTGTCGAAGTGACTCCATGCGCTAAAATGAAGATCCAATAGTATTCAAAATATTAGTAACAACATAAAATAAATTATCCACATCCGAATGATTTTAAAGAGCTACAAGTGCTAGTTGCAATTGATGAGCAAAACAGTGAATACAATATGCAGAGGGAGTATCTTGCAAAATTAAAGACTTGAGACCACTTATTTTTCCTTGCATATTACTAGCTCCATCATAGCCCTATCCACATATCTTGGATCTACTTAATGAATGATCCAAAAGCAAAGAATAAATTACTTTTTGTAGTGATGAGGAAGAAGTATCATCCACGTGGACAATACCTAAGAATCGCTCTATCACCGTTCCACTTTTGTTGACATATCACAAAATTAAGGCCATTTGTCCCTTATGTGAGACGTTCTTTGATTCATCAACTAATATTGCAAAATAATCACCATCCAAATCTTCAATGATAGCTTTAGTTGTTTCTTTAGAATAAGCCTCCACAATCTTTTTTTGAATTGTTGGATAAATTATCATATCATTTTGTGGAGCATAACGTAATATTACTCTTCTCACATCCGGATGCCGATCTCTGTGCCATTCCAAAAGTTCAAGAAAGCCACCTTTATATTCAGATTCTTCACTTTTATCATGTCCACGAAATGTAAATCCCGAAATTAAAAGAAACCTTGCCACATCAATTGAGGCATTTAAGCGCATTCAGTAATAACCTTTTACTTTTTCACTTTTCTTGTCACAAGAAGATTGAATCGATTGACGTTGATTTATCAAATCTAGCATCCTATTGAAGCATTTGTGATGGATACTATTTACTTCGCCAACATGTGCTTTGAATCTTTCCACACCCTTGTTCTAACCCCTAAAATCATCTTTTGTAAATACATCCCCTGCATTGCCACAGCTTTCAATTTCACTCTTGAATAAATAACAACACATACAACATGCCACATCTCCTTTTATGCTATACTCCAACTATTGAGAATATGGTCCCCTAAACCAAGTGGTACTAAATTGATGCATTTTACTCCCAATCTTAGTTTTCGGAAAAGCATGACCAATCGGTTGACAAGGCCCTTTGTTTATATAATATCTCCTCACTTTATCTCTAATATTAGGATCATAATTAGAAATTGGTATTCTTTCTTTGGGATCCGGTTCAAAAGATTTCAAATCAAGCACCTTATCCACATTTGAAAGTAGAGAAGGATTTGTCTCTCTTTGAACTTCCGGAGCGATTTGTGAACTCGTGGATGGTCAACTAGCACTAGAACTTGGTTCACCATTTTTCAGTTTGGTGAGAAATCTATCCATTTTAATCTTATGGATTGTTTCTACAAAATTAAATACTCACACTTCTATTTAATCTATTTTAAGTCAAATAAATTGTTAAATTCAAATCAATCACATTAAAGCATGTCAGTCAATAGATGAAGAAGTTATGGCACAAAAATTAGGCATCTGTAGTTCTGCACATGCATGTTTGAACTTATACACTTTAATTGTGTTTGTATTTGAGCAAGTTCTTTAATAACTGTCACGACCCAAAATCTGTTAAAGGTCGTGATGGTGTCGGACACCATTGTCACGCAAGCCAACTTTAAATAGTTAATTAAATTCTCATTTTAATATTTTTAAAATCGTGAATTTTACTTCAATTTATCTAGTAAAAGATGAATTTACAGAATAAATAACAATGCTTTCCAATTTCAATACTGAACATCCCATAATCATCCCAGAATCTGGTGTCACAAGTGTATGAGCATTTTCTAGGAATTTAAAATAAAATACAATAACTGTCCGGAATACAAATTTGGACAGGAAAGAAAGTACAATACTCTGAAGGAGACTCTGCTGGCTGCGAGTCATACATAAGATGCAGCTCACCTAAGTCCCCGTAACAACCGCGCCTCTGCGCCCACAAGGCCACTAGTCATTTATGTACCTTCACAAAATATGCAGCAAGTGTAGTATGAGTACGTAAATCAACGCGTACCCAGTAAGTATCCCGCCTAACCTCGAAAAAATATTGACGAGGGGTCGACTCAGATACTTACTATAGGCTATAATTAATATACCAATGATATGATGAATCATGGGTTTTAGGTGGCAACGGTAACCACAATAATATGAGGCAGGTAAATAATTCTCTTGTTAATAGGGAATTTCCAAATTTATTTTCATCTTTTAACAATTTATATCTCCGGCCAATGATGCCATATCAAATTATCAATTTATCTCAAACCAGGGAGGCAATATCATTATCTATAAATTTCAAGGCAAGCAATACAAGCATGCGCAAATCATGCCGAGGTCGTACGGCCCGATCCATTAAATATTTAAACTGTACACTGCCAGAGGGTCGAATGGCGTGAACCATAGATGCATCTATTTACTACCGAGACACTCGGCCCGATCGACAAATAATAATTATTTTCAAGAAAACACAAGTTTCTCATTTACAGTCAAGTATCTCATACAACCTTCAAGTAAGTGAATTTAATCTCATACAATTATTTTATCAATTTCTATCATGACTAAGTGATTATATTAGCAAGTACGGGCACAAACATTCCAAGTATGGCATGATACGGGTCCTAAACTACCCGAACAATAGCATAATAGTAGCTGCGTACGGACTCTCGTCACTTCGTACGTACGTAGCCCCCACAATTAGGTACAAACATTTATTTAATTCACCTATGGGGTTAATTCCTTCTTACAAGGTTAGAAAGAAGACTTACCTCGCTCCGAAGTTTCATAACTGGCTCCCAAGCAATTCAATCAACTCAGATCGATGCCCAACGCTCCAAACTAGTCAATAAATGAGCAAATCCATAAATATGTACTCTAATACTCATTATAACCCTATTAAAAAAAATTTCCCAACTCCGTTCGAAAAGTCGATAAAATCATCCTCGGGCCCACGTGCCCGAATTCTAAAATTTTCGAATATAATCATTACCCATAACCTTATGAACTCAAATATATGATTTATTCCCAATTCCATGCCCAAATTCGTGGTCAAAATCCAAAATACCAAATTCTAGGTTTTCTACCAAAATCCCACAATTTCTACTAATTTCCATGTTTAAATTTTTATACAAACCATGTATTTAGCTTATACTAAGTGGGGATCAATTACCTTGGCCTTGATGACGAAGAATGAGCTCCAAACTCATTCCAAGACTGGATATCATGAAGAAAATGAGGTGAAAATGAGCCAAGCCCTCGTTTTTAAAGAACACACTGCCCAGCCCCGGCGTTCGCACCTGCGGTCCAATAGCCGCTCCTGCGGCTCCGTAGGTGCGGTCCAAATTCTGCTCCTGCGGTCCTCACTGCCCAGCCAAGACCTCGCACCTGCGGAAGTTTCTTCGCTTTTGCGAGCTTCGCATGTGCGACGTCCTATGCGCATCTGGGAAAATTTTACGCACTAGCGGCAGCTGCCTCGCGCCTGCGCACACGCAGGTGCGCTTCTCCAGTCCGCTTCTGCGCCTCCCCTAGCTCTAGTCCCTGCTCGCTTTTGCGAGCAATTTGCCGCACCTGCGATCTCGCACCTGCGGCCAAAAATCACGCAGGTGCGATCATGCAGGTGCGATTACACTAGAAGCATTAAGCTTCAGAAAATTCTTAAGTCCAAAAATCGATCCGTTAACCTTCCGGAATCCACCCGAGGCCCTCGGGACCTCAACCAAATATACCAACATGTCCCAAAACACGTTATGAACTTAGTCGAGCCTTCATATCACATCAACCAACATTGAATTCATGAATCGCACCCCATTCAAAGCTTAATGAACTTTAGAAATTTCAACTTCTACATTCGATGCCGAAACATATCAAATTAGGTTCGATTGACCCCAAAATTTGCACACAAGTCATAATTGACATTACAGACCTACTCCAACTTTCAGAATCGGAATCTGACCCCGATATCAAAAAGTCCACTCCCGGTCAAACTTCTCAAAAACCTTCAAATTTCTAACTTTAGTCAAATGACTTCAAAATGACCTACGGATCTCCAAATCCACTTTCGGACGCGCTCCCAATACCGGAATCTCCATACGGAGCTATTCCTAGACTCGGAATTCCAAACAGACATCGATAACATTGAAATGTACTTCAACCCAAATTTATGGAATTCTTCCAAAATGCTAACTTCCACAATAGGTACCAAAACGCTCCCCGGGCATCCAAAACCCAATCAGAACATACGCCCAAGTCCAAAATCATCATACGAACATGCTGGAACCTTCAAATCCCGATTTCGAGGATGTTTACTCTAAAATCCAATCTTAGTCAATTCTTCCAACTTAAAACTTTCGAAATAAAAATTTTCTTTATGATCCAACTCCGAACTTCCTGAAATTCAATTCCGACCATACGCACAAGTCATAATACCTAAAATGAAGCTACTCAAGGCCTCAAACCGCCGAACGATGCACTGGAGCTCAAAACGACCGGTCGGGTCGTTATATTCTCTCCCACTTAAACATACGTTCGTCCTCGAACGTACTAAGAACTGCGCTGGAGTTATCCAAAATCACTGTTTAACACCTCGTGCACCTATCCGTGCTACCACAACTTAATTGAGCACATTAGCTCGATCAAATCTGAAGATATTCTCTTTTATTTAGGCAAATAAGCCTTAGAGCCCAGTTCCAACATTCGAAATTCTTTGCCAGGATTGCTTCCAACATATGAACACCGTATCAATCACCACTCGATGTACCAGAACATGACTGCATACCTTTTCTGAATTCACACCATGCACCGCAACATTCACATGACCATAATAACATTCTCTGATCATAATAGCCGACATTCCCTGAATCTGATGCTCACCATGCTCCTCAAGACATATATAAGTCTGGTTCCAACTCTTGCAATACCGCCAAGACAGAAGAGACGTGTAGAAATTCATAACCGACTGCCGAGTCAACAAATCATTGAGTATCTCCTCTTGACTAGAATCATCACCCCATTATAACCAAATAATGATATTTGCTCTTTACTATACTTTATATAATCCGATCGCACTGATCTTGGATCCAATAATCTCGTCTCACCCAACATAAGTTGTTTAGGCAATAAGCCACCTCATACGCTGCTAAAAGTTTCATGTGATGCTACAATGTGCCAATAAGCAACAAACTCGATGTGATACATGAGGAAAATAAACTCTGGAAAGAACTACTCAACCCACGTAACTACTAGACAACCGAAATGGTGTTACGATCCTTCCTCAGAAAATGGGACACAAAACACACAAAATAGAATATAGGGGACTGTACTCAACATCACACTGTTGTGGCGTGCAACCCGATCCAAACAACATACCCGTGGCGGCATGCCACCTGATTCACACATAATAACCTGTAAGGAATTAGTTACCGAGCTAAAATGCTCATACCTACAAAATATCCGAATATCAGTCACAAGCACGCTAAGTGCATAATACCATCCCTGGGAGGACAGACAGTGCCATACGCTACAAAACTCAAGCACAACTAAGGTGCGATATATGATCTGAATCTCGAGAGCCATCCCGCTCACATAACACCATCGCTATGCGGAACCTCAACATATAGAAAATTTATCAAGCCGTTTCACAACTCACACGGCACAATATAGTATTACATGAAATAGCCGACAACGAAATGACATCAACCATCTGAATACTCCTCCATAAGGAGCGCTATGCTGAAATGAATACATCCGGCCTGACATAGAGCCCATATTCACATTTAAATCCATCCACAGACCTCAAGCCGATTCTGTTTGCACCGTACTAGGCTAATAACCTTTCAAGGATCCATAATAACCCTTTTTCCCATAACACACGAGAACAACCATCATAACCGGAACAAACTTTCACCATCCACAACCAAATGAACCAAGCGCCCTCCAGGCATAAATTTTCAAATTATCGATATTGCAACCCTCTTCATACTTGGTTTAAATCTTCAATCAACCAAGTGAATACATGCCACACCTATACAATCTTCCCGTGGGACACGCTCCCACGACTTTCCGCACTGGGTAACAAGTTCGCACGCCCATATCACCGGCCATACTAATGCTGTGAATCAAATCGTGAATCCGCAATCAGTATGCAAAGCCTTTTACATAAGACACCGATCTCAGGTGACGTCAGAGACAATACCAACTTACTCTAACCATTTGAATCCCTTCCTGCTCATCCGAGCTCTTGACATTCTTGTCGACACCCACCTACAACTTTGATCCTCAACTTCTGAATCCCATGCCGATCACTGCACTTAATCATGCCAGTGCGCAAAAGTACAAGAATTTCATCTTAACCTCCGAACTACTAATAGGGTAAACACTTCAACACATAGAACCCTTTTACTTAACTCATTCCAAGAGAACCATCTCAACACGCGACTGAATCCTCATATCTACAGAAAATGCCAACCTCAAGTAGTGGTCTAACCCACCATAACCCTTTCGGGATCCATTTGCACATAACATGCCATAATACTCGAAAGCCTCCAAATAAGATTAGTTACGGCGATCGTCAAATCTCGCACGTACCGTCACAAATCACATGAATAACCCAACACACTAAAGGAGCTGATCATTGCCATCATTATGCCGATTCAACCATTGCTAACCAAACCGGACTTCTCCTAATTTACTCTGGATCTTCCTTACAAATAACAACATCTCCTTTATCAATATAACGAACTCAATCTACACTCATCCTGAGTGACCCCATCTCACGAGACCACACTGCCCCCAAAACCCACGAACCATCTCACACACTCCTTGTGCGCACATCCGCATTTTCAACCGGTACACCCATTCTGATATTTCCTTTACGATTACGAAGTTATTTTCTCCCATTCTTCCATTGCTACACCGCATACTGAAGATAACATAGAACACTCCAAGCCACTTTTATAATCTGCTACAATAGCTCAATACTTAACCATACTATGGACTCGAAATCCTTAGGCACCACACTTTAACTTTTGAATCCACTAGGACCGTTGTTGAGAGTCATCCACTCTGACTTGGTCCCGAATATAATCAAATTCCTAGGCTCCACTAGCACATGAAAGCCCTCTCAAGAAGCACCCAGCTGAATCACTTTCATTGTAAATCACCTTTACACGAAGCATAAATCCTGAATCTTCCCAATACCTGAATATGGATCAATAAGGCCAACTATAGCACACATTCCTCAATCCTTTGCTCAAATTACCACTGATGTTCTCTTTCCTTAGTAGTAATAACCCACCAATATGCCGATAACCAGAAATCTCACAAGTAGACAACCATGCGATCCCTTCGTAGGCGGTGGGGGCTCTCCCACTTAGCTTGAAGCTACCATTGCATAATTTTAGATTCCACCAAGACTCCTTATCCTCTATTGACATGATCTTGCACAATCAACCCACCAATTTGCCTCAAAATCTTCCTGTTAACCATTTCATGAACACTCTGAATCACAAGCCACGTCTTTATATTCAACCTCTCACCAGATAGCCAGTAGAATACTTCGTAGAAGCTTCGTCAGCCATGCGACTGCTGACCTGCTCACAGGAGATAACCCACATGTGGAAATTACATGCTAACGTCTTCCAACGTCGCTACACTAGGTACACTTACTACATAATCAGTAACCCATCCTGAGCCCGTGCTCATTCACCAGCTGCACAAGTCCATTCACTCCTCATGGACATCAACTAAAAGGTGAGACAGTACATTCCTATTCAAAGTCATGTTGTATTCTTCCTATCAGGCAACCCCTTCCCCTCGTATCTAATCTCCCCCGTATAATAGCCAATATTCCAAATTAAGTCCGCAGACTTAGTCACTATCCACCATGAAATCCCAAATCATTCTAAATGTTTCCCAAGGCGTGTAGCTATCCTACCACAGAACCCCTCTGATACTCTTCCAGTCTCCCACTTTGGTCAAACCCTCTCCTTTAAGCAACTGCCAAACTTCTGTTTCTCACACTTGGCCTTCTAGAAATTTAACCACCGCAAAGCACCTCCCACATGTTCTTCCTCATCCTGCTGCCAAGTTGTTGCCTTAAATCAAAATCAACCTCTGTAGCACTTGAACCAATCGATCGCTACCAACCTCAAACCTTTCCGAAGATCATCTTCCTTGAGCCCTCAACACCCGTACCACCGATTAAGTTCTAAACCACCGCACACTGCGATCTTTGACAACCGCTTCCCCAGCACTGTTTCACACTACCCTGCCCCGAAGGCAAATTGATGAAGACCGTAACATCGGAAAACTTAACACAATTAATCCAGGGCGACGACACCACACCATAGATGAAAATTCCACCATGCTCGAAATACTAAGCCTCGTTACTCCGTCAACCCAAACCTGAACATTCATAGTCCGATTGCCTTTCTTTTGCTGGAAATAAAATACTGGATCTCTGAATCATGCACCGTGTAAACCTCTTTCCAAGTCATTCACTGCCCCAAGACATAGGCAAGCATCCTACCATCACATCAATACTGTGCGATAACAACTCATGAGCATCATAGCAACCTGTGTATAGCCTCAAAGCTCTCAGAAGTACATCTACTGAGCTGAAATGACAGAATGTTCTTTCACAAGGTGATGACAATAGTCCAAGCAACTACACAAGGAAAAACATCCCGCACCACATCTGTAGTACCATTACAATTCCTCAATTCCCGATTTATAACCAGCGCTTCATGTCGCATAAGATTGAATGGGAAGGAAATGAAGGCATAAGCCTCAAAGGAATCAAATCGCACGATGAGAATCAAGAAGGGACGTGCTCCTAACAGCCCTATAGCCTCTCGAAGATAGATAAGTATAGACGTCTCCGTATCGATCCGCAAGACCCTACTAGACTCGCTCATGACTCGTGAGACCTAAGTGAACCTAGTATTCTGATACCATATTGTCACGACCCAAAATTTGTTAAAAGTCATGATAGTGCCGGACACCACTGTCAGGCAAGCCAACTCTAAATAGTTAATTAAATTCTCATTTTAATATTTTTGAAATCGTGAATTTTACTTCAATTTATCCAACAAAAGATGAATTTACAAAATAAATAACAATTTTTTCCAATTTCAATACTGAACATCCCATAATCATCCCAGAACTCGATGTCACAAGTGCATGAGCAATTTTTAGGAATTTAAAATAAAATACAATAACTGTCCGGAATACAAATTTGGACAGAAAACTAAGTACAATACTCTGAAGGAGACTCTGCTGGCTGCAAGTCGTACATAAGATGCAGCTCACCTAAGTCTCCGTAACAACCGCGCCTCTGTGCCCACAAGGCCACTAGTCATATATGTACCTACATAAAATGTGCAACAAGTATAATATGAGTACGTAAATCAACGTGTACCCAGTAAGTATCCCGCCTAACCTCGAACAAGTAGTGACGAGGGGTCGACTCAGACACTTACTATGGGCTATAATTAATATACCAATGATATGCTGAATTATGGATTTTATGTGACAACGGTAACCACAATAACATGAGGCAGGTAAATAATTCTCTTGTTAATAGGGGATTTCCAAATTTATTTTCATCTTTTAACAATTTATATCTCCAGCCAATGATGCCATATCAAATTATCAATTTATCTCAAACCAGGGAGGCAATATCATTATCTATAAATTTCAAGGCAAGCAATACAAGCATGCGCAAATCATGCCGAGGTTGTACGACCCGATCCAACAAATATTTAACCTGTGCACTACCAGAGGGTCGAATGGCACGAACCATAGGTGCATCTATATACTACCGAGACGCTTAGCCCGATCCACAAATAACAATTATTTTCAAGAAAATACAACTTTCTCATTTACAGTCAAGTATGTCATACAAACCTTCAAGTAAGTAAATTTACTCTCATACAATTCTTTTATCAATTTTTATCATGACTACGTGATTATATTAGTAAGTAAGGGCACAACCATTCCAAGTATGGCATGATATGGGTCCTAAACTACCCGGACAATAGCATAATGGTAGCTACGTACGGACTCTCGTCACCTCGTACGTACGTAGCCCCCACAATTAAGTAAAAACATTTATTTAATTTACCTATAGGGTTAATTCCCTCTTACAAGGTTAGAAAGGAGACTTACCTCGCTCCGAAGTTTCGTAACCGGCTCCCAAGCCATTCAATCAACTCAAATCGACGCCCAACGCTCTAAAACTAGTCAATAAATGAGCAAATCAATAAATATATACTTTAATACTCATTATAATCCTATTTACAACAATTCCCAACTCCGTTCGAAAAGTTGATAAAATCATCCTCGGGCCCACGTGCTTCGGATTTCAAAATTTTCGAAGTTAATCATTACCCATAACCTTATGAACTCAAATATATGATTTATTCCCAATTCCATTCCCAAATTCTTGGTCAAAATCCAAAATACCAAATTCTAAATTTTCTACCAAAACTCCCACAATTTCTACTAATTTTCATGTTTAAATTTTTATACAAACCATGTATTTAACTTATACTAAGTGGGGATTACTTACCTTGGCATTGATGACGAAGAATGAGCTCCAACCTTGCTCCAAGACCGGCTCTCAGGGAGAAAATGAGGTGAAAATGAGCCAAGCTCTCATTTTTAAAGAACACACTGCCTAGCCCCGACGTTCGCGCATGCGGTCCAATAGCCGCTCCTGCGGTCCTCACTGCCCAGCCAAGACCTCGCACCTGCGAAAGTTTCTTCGTTTCTACGAGCTTTGCAGGTGCGACCTGCTATGCGCATCTGCACAAATTTTACGCACCAGCGGCAGCTGCCTCGCGCCTGCGCACACGCAGGTGCGCTTCTCCAGTCCGCTTCTGCGGCTCCCCCAACTCTAGTCCCTTCTCGCTTATGCGAGTAAATTGCTACACCTGCGATCTCGCACCTGTAGCCAAAGTCACGTAGGTTTGATTACACCAGAAGCATTAAGCTTCAGAATATTCTCAAGTCTAAAAATCGATCCGTTAAACTTTCGGAATCCATCCAAGGCCCTTGGGAACTCAACCAAATATACCAACACGTTCCAAAATACGTTACGAACTTAGTCGAGCCTTCAAATCACATCAAACAACTTTGAATTCATGAATCGCACCCCATTCCAAGCTTAATGAACTTTAGAAATTTCAACTTCTACATTCGATGCCGAAACATATCAAATCAGGTCCGATTGACCTCAAATTTTACACACAAGTCATAATTGACATTATAGACCTACTCCAACTTCCGGAATCGAAATCCAAACCCGATATCAAAAAGTCCACTCCCGGTCAAATTTCTCAAAAACCTTCAAATTTCTAACTTTAGCCAAATGACTCCAAAATGACCTACGGACCTCCAAATCCACTTTCGGACGCGCTCCCAATACCGAAATTACCATACGGAGCTATTCCTAGACTCATAATTCCAAACGGATATCGATATCATCAAAATGTACTTCAACCCAAATTTATGGAATTCTTTTAAAATGCTAACTTCCACAATAGGTGTCGAAAAGCTCCCGGGGCATCCAAAACCCGATCCGAACATACGCCCAAATCCGAAATCATCATACGAACCTTCTGGAATCTTCAAATCCCGATTCTGAGGTCGTTTACTCTAAAATTCAATCTTAGTTAATTCTTCCTACTTAAAGCTTTCGAAATGAGAATTTTCTTTTCGATCCAACTCCGAACTTTCCGAAATTCAATTCCGACCATACGTATAAGTCATAATACCTGAAGTGAAGCTACTCAAGGCCTTAAAACGCCGAACGATGCGCTGGAGTTCAAAACGACCGGTCGGGTCGTTACAATAACTATTAAATATATTGTTTGGTTTTAAAACTAAATTTGTTTGGACTAAATTTAAACGAAGTCGGAAAGGATTAGATATACAAAATAGTATATGCAGTTCCTTGTTCAAATTAATATGACATATTTATGCTTATTTAATATGGAGATATTTTAAACTTAAATTATTGTCCCACTAAATTCCTTCACATAAATTCTTTTTCCCATGGATTTCAATCTTTGACTCGGCCAAGCATTTTCTCAAACACAATATGTGCACAAATTCTATAAACTATCAAAAATCAAGACTTTAAAGCCCTAGCTCTCCCAAACTTTCACTAGAAATAGCATTCAACATCTTCTCATTTAAGAAATAAACAATCAGAAATTCAGAATCACCATCAAGGCATCAACAAGACAAAATCTCGGCAAGAGATTCAAATATTGAGCAGAACGGGGAAAGAGAGTGCGGGCAATAGCAAGAGGAGAAGAAAGATACAGTGAGAGAATTAAAATACAGAGCAAGGAGAGAGTAGTTAGATACCTGAGGCTGAGAATTTTAAAGGAACGTGGAGAAGAAATGCTGCTTTCTTTAAGAATCCAGACACATAGAGCCGATAGAGAAAGAGAGAGAGAGAGAGAGTTGAGAGGGATACAGAGCAAGGAGATAGATTGTGTATTTTGTTTTTAGGAATTAGGGATTTTATTGTATATACCCTAATTCCCCCTAAAAAATGTAGGCCATGTTTTTAGCCAAAAGAAACTTTAAAAAAAAAACTTAATATAAAAAAGGTGAAGGGACAGGGATCGAACCCTTGACCTAGGGTACACGGGGGCACCAACTTACCAATGCACCAAGGTAGTCAATTGAGCATGGGTGGTCACAAACTTATATATATAGATAATTTTAAAATTGGTACTGTTTATACATACCTTAGGGAGGGGAGCATGGGTGCATGTACCCCACCCCCTCCACATAAATCCGCCTCTACATATTAGGATCATAAAAAAGAAGAATAGAGAATGAATTTGAGTGAAGAAAAGGAAGAGGAGATAGTTGTATTTATAGGGTTTTTTCGTGTATGTGGAAATTATGATAATGGGATTGTAATTAAATGGAAGAAACTTAACTAATATACCAAGTGAAATTTTTGAAAAGAAAGTAATTTAATTTATTTACTTCCAATATATAGATTTTATGAGAACAAGAGCCTATATTAATCTAGTTCAAGATTTTCTCAAATATATTATTCTTAAAAAGAGCTTGTTTTTTTTTTTAAAGAAACATATTTAATTCATGTTACAACATAAAGATATTTGAGTCGTATTTAAATTAAATTAGGGTAAAGATCCATACTTTCTCTTCAATGGATACGTAATCCTTTCCGACTATGATGTATGAAAAAGTGGGGCGTGATCTACTCATTAATTTTATATATTAAATGAGCGACTCTACTATAATCGTTTGGGAGACAATGGCATGCATTTTTACACATAAGTATAAACTATTAAGTGATCGGTAAATATTTCATCCTTACTGCGGCCTTGAAAATCTATAATTTGTATAGTTAGGACTTGAAAAATACTTATACGCATTTGGTATAGATTTATATCAAGCAAACAATTTAATTAAAGAGCTACAAACATAGGACGCAAATCTATTTTTTTATTAGGACCTTAGACGAATTGACAACATAGCAGATATATGTATTAGAGGACAATGTAAATTATGTGTCATTTAGTTACAGAAAATAGATCGAAGCTATATTTTATTTTTTACAGTCCAAATAATGGCTTGGTGTATGGGGGCAAGAATTGTTTGGATATTATGTAATAGCATCAAATTAAATAGCTACAACGAGACTGGTATTCTCATACATAATTCCATTGTCTTTTCGCTTCAATCATTTCATGGTTCCTGTGATGACCCGAGGTAACGATCCGACCAGTCGTTTTTTTTTTAGAACCCCGTTCTCCTAAATAAGACTCCACATATATGATTTTACTATTTTATAACTTGCGGGGATGGTTAGTTCGAGATTTGGAAGGGTTAGGGTTAAAATCGGAACACTAGGTTCCTTAAGTTGGCCTTAAAAGGCTAAGTTTGACTTCGGTCAATATTTTAAGTAAACGACCTCGGAATCAGAATTTGACGGTTCCAATAGGTTCGTATGATGATTTCGGACTTGGGCGTATGTTCGGATCGGGTTTTGGATGACCCGGGAGCGTCTTGGCACCTAATAGTGAAAGTTGGTTCTTTAAAGGTTTTAGAAGTTCTTTAAATTTGGTTTGGAGCGGGTTTTGATGATATCGAGGTCCAAATGAAATTTCAAGATCGGAAATAGTTCCGTAATGTCATTTAAGAGTTGCATGCAAAATTTGGTGTCGTTCCGAGTAGTTTAATTACGTTTCGGCGCGTTGGGAATAAATTGAAGAACTTGAAGTTCATAAGGTTGATTCAATTGGTTTTGGGGTGTGATTCTTAGTTTTAATGTTGTTTCGGGCGTTCCGAGAGTTCGAGCGAGTCC